AGGAAGGAAGTGAGGGAGGAAGGAAGTGAGGGAGGAAGGGAGGGAGGGAGGAAGGGAGGAAGTGAGGGAGGAAAGAAAGGAGGAAGGAAGGGAGGAAGGAAGGGAGGGAGGGAGGAAGGAAGGAAGTGAGGAAGGAAAGGAGGGAGGAAGGAAGGAAGTGAGGGAGGGAGGGAGCGAGGGAGCGAGGGAGGAAGTGAGGGAGGAAAGAAAGGAGGAAGGAAGGAAGTGAGGGAGGAAGGAAGGAAGGAAGTGAGGAAGGGAGGGAGGGAGGGAGGAAGGAAGGAAGGGAGGGAGGAAGGAAGGAAGTGAGGGAGGGAGGGAGGAAGGGAGCGAGGGAGGGAGGGAGGAAGGAAGAGAGGAAGGAAGGAAGGGATTGAGGGACGGAGAGAAGGAAGGATGGGAGGGAGGAAGGAAGAAAGGGAGGAAGGAAGGAAAATCATCTCAGTAGATTGCTTGTGTTTCATTTCCTTTTTTTTTTTTTTTTAACAGTGTTTCGTTCTTTCATTTGGAGCATATTCCTCTGTATCCACTTTTTGCTTGACCCCGTGTTTGTTTCAGGGAATGAGGGTGAACAGCCATCTTTCTCCAACAGGAAGGCGTGTGATGTGTGGATGGTCGACCCCTGTGTAGACTGTGTGCCCGGTGGCTGGTGGACTGGGTGCCCCAGGTCACTCTGCACTGGGGCTCCCGGGTGGGCGGCCTGGAGGTGGGGGTCCCGGAGCTGAGGGTGCCCCGGGGGACAGGCGGGGCGCAGGCAGGCTCAGGCTGGGGGTCCGACCCCCAGTGGTGCGGCCTCAGGTGTTCCGGGCGCCGGTGTCACCAGGTCCCGAGGGCTGGAAGGGAACGCTGACTGGGGGTGTGCACCGGGCGGGGGCGGGGGCCGCCACGGGGGGCCTCCGGGGAGTGTGTGCCCTGGGGGCCCCGCGGGACGGTGGACGGGAGCGGCAGCGGCTCCCGGCTCTTCCGAGCGGCTCTGACGCCGCGCCTTTTATAGTTGCCCTCTTAGACCCGGCTTGGTTCCCGAGCCCGAGGCCCCCCGGGGCAGGGGCCAGGGCGCCCGGAACCCTGTTCGCGGCCGCGCTGCGCCCACCAGGCGGCGGAGCGCACACGGCTGCGCTCCCGACGTGACCTCCGACCCGGAAGACCTCCGGCGCCCCCTCGCCTTCCCGCCAGGCCTGGTTCTTTTAGGGTCTGTGGGGTTTTTAAATTTGTTTCTTCGAGGTTTCGTTGTTTGTGGGGAGCGAGCGAGCAGGAAAGGGGCAGAGAGAGGGCGAGAGCGAGAGCCCCAGGCAGAGTCTGCGCTGCCAGCGCGGAGCCCGATGGGATGCTGGGTCCACGGCCGCGAGACCAGGGCCTGAGCCGGGCGCGTCGGATGCTTAACCGACTGAGCCACCCGGGCGCCCGTCTAGGTGCTCATTTAAACCACGGCTTTTCTCTGGCCCCAGGGGCGCGAATCTGCACCGGGAGCCTCAGTGCCACCCCTGCGGGGCCGCTCCCCGTGGGGGGGCTGGGCTTCCCTTCTTTATGGGGTGGGCTGTCTCTCGCCCCCTCTCTGCGCGGCTGCGTCAGCCCTCAGCCCTCCTTCACGACCCTCCAGACAGGTGCAGACCTGGGGGGCCGGGGAGTCGGGGGCTTCCTAGCGGCCGGGGTCCTCGGAGTCACCGTCTCGGACCGCAGCTCCGACCTGGCTCCTTGTTACCGCGCGCACACTCTCCAGCTCATTCATTACACGGTTAATTGCGCCCTTCGCTTTGACTTTCCTTGTATTCCTGACATACGAGTGATTCACATTTTTTTGTAACTGCCTGGACTGTAGATGTGGAAGTCACCAGCCTGAGTGTGCTAACGGTCTGTTTCTTTCTCTGTCTTTTCCAGTCTGTTCCCAGTATTCCAGGGGAGTCTTTGCCATTTTCGGACTCTACGATAAGAGGTCGGTGCACACCTTGACCTCGTTCTGCAGCGCCTTACACATCTCCCTCATCACACCGAGTTTCCCCACGGAGGGGGAGAGCCAGTTTGTGCTGCAGCTCAGACCGTCCTTGCGGGGGGCGCTGCTGAGCCTCCTGGACCACTACGAATGGACCGGTTTCGTCTTCCTGTACGACACGGACAGGGGTAAGTCGCAGCCCCAAGTCTCCATGAGTGAAGCCCTCACTCTCAACCGCAAGTGGCCTTGTATCGCTTTTGCAGTTTAGGGAGATAATTGGAGCTCTACTGCGGCTAAAATCAGAGAAGTGTCAGTGTGTATTATCAGTAATTTTGTCTTGAAACACGTCAGATGCACAAGGCTATTCATGAGCCAGCCGTGCTCTATGACTTAGCTGAAATCAAGATAAATAATTCTATGAAAATTTCCAAGATGATATTTCAGGTACAATCAGGAAATAAATGTCTTTTGCCTCAAGTGCAGATGATTTAATGTCTTGGAATGTCTTTAAAAGGGAGCACGTTGATTTTTATGCCTTCATCTGTGTATCTGTAATTTTATTTAAAAAAAGAAGAAAGTAGCAGGTTGAACCATATCCCTGGGCTTGAAATGTAAAACTTTAAGTGTGTAATTGAAGCCTGGTGACAATGCAGTACAGATTTGGGGGTAAGTTTTCCGCTTGCTGGCAACCTGCCACTTTACCTTCACCTCCCAAGTTCTGAAGGTCAGGAACCGATACTATACAACCCATGCGATGGGAAAATAGGGTGAATAATGTTAAATTATTGGCAGTCCATCCATTTTTATACATGTTTGAGACACTTTGACTTTTCACTGTGAGGGATAAGACGTTCCCATATTCTTAATTTTATTTTATTTCACTTTTTTTGTATTTAGTGTCTGGAATCACAGAAACAGATTATACTGCAGAATAAACAGCAGGGAACCCCCTTTACAGTGTTTATCCTCAGTGTTTTTCTCTTAAAGAGTCTATCTGACAAGAAGTTGGAATAAAAATTGAAATTGCAACATTTTAAGAATATCCTTGAACAGAATTCTGTCACATGAGTAAAACAATAAGCATAAAGCAATAAGCAAGCAAAATAAATCTTTTGAAGAGGTAATTATCTTCAAAAGTCCAAAGCATAATTTCCTCTCCTCAGAGATGGAATGTCATGTCAGCTGTGACCCAGTGGTGATCTTGGTACATAGCATTCTTGCTAAATTTTCTTTTCAGTACAAGTTTAGAAAACTTAGTATCATCAGCGTATTTTTTGCCTGGTCACACCATGCACTAATTCACATTTGAAAATATGGGAGCCTGCCACATCTTGTGATGACATTTGCCAATAGCTAAAACTGCAAAGCATCCTAGAGCATGTAGGATAGGTTAGAAAAATCATCCTGTTCATTTCTAACTTCTTGAAAAATCCTTCAGCAAGAGGACACTGAAAATTGAATCATAAGGCAACTTAAAACAACAATGAGAGATTATTGCCTGTCTGTTAGAATGGCCAAGATCCAGATCACTGACAACACCACATGCTGGTGTGCGAGTGGAGTGACAGGGCTTCTCACTCATTGTCAGTGGGAATGCAAAATGGTACAGCTGTTTGGAAGTCAAGGTGGCAGTTTCTTACAAAACTAAATACACTCTTACTTGGTGATGTAGCAGCCGTGCTCTTTGGTATTTACCATAACTGGAAAACTTGTGTCGACACAAAAACCTGCACACAGATATCAATTTATAGCACCTTTATTCACAATTACCAAAAGTTGGAAGCAACCAAAATGTCCTTCAGTAGGTGGATGGATAAATTGTGGTTCATCCAGACAATGGAATATTACTATTCAAAGCTAAAAATAAATGAGCTATCAATACATTAAAAAACATGGTGGAACCTTAAATGCATAGTTCTGCGAGGTGGGAGAAGCCAGTCTGAAAAGGCTGCATGCTGTATGATTTCAACTACATGATGTTCTGGCAAAGGCAAAGCTGTGGAGACAGTAAGGAGATTAGTGGTCGCCAGAGTTTAAGGGGAAGGAGGGATGAACAGGTGAAGCACAGACGATTTGTCAGACTGTGAAGTTGCTCAGTATGTTGCTCTCATAGAATCATGACACGACACTATGATAATGGTGGACATGTCATTGTACATTTGCCCAAACACCTGGAATATCCGAACCCTAATGTACATTGTGGACTGCAGGTGGTAACGGTATGTCAATATAAGTTCATCAGTGGTAACATGTCAAATACAAAAAAAAAATTGCAGTTCAATAAAATTGACTCAAGAGATTAAAAAATTGAATCCTGGTGTAAAGAAATATATCCTAGGATATAGATGAGACTGTTCTTTATATGCTTCTTTATGACATAGCTCAGTTCATCATTTTGGGTACAAGATGCTTATTTTATGACATCTTGTTGTCATAGAAATATCAGTGGGTCCGATGTCTTACTTTTTCCCTCTGTGTCTGGGTCCCTCGGTCTCTGGCAAGAAGAAAGGTTGTAGGCACTCATGCATTAGCCTCCCCACCAAACAGGGATTCAGAGTGGTGCTTTGCTTTCATACTAGTTTGTACCTTCCGGGATCGTCACTCCTGCGTAGCGCATCGGAGGCTCCTACACTGAGTCACCTCCCATCCATCACCTCTGTCCAGGAATTTCCCTGGTATAAGCAGATGTGTTTTCTTCTTTAAAGAATCTTTTTCCTGGCTGAATTTCTGCCTCCTAAGACTTAAACCATTCATGGTGCAAGCTCTGTTTCTTCTAATGTGGCAACTTGTTACCTTTAACTTTCCTATTGGACAAGGCTTGCCGCACAAAGCCTGCTTTTCCTTGTCGTCTCCGTGTCTTGCTTTTAACCAGCCGATGCAAGTCACTCTCTCGAATTTCTTAATTCTCTAGTAGTTGTTGCAAGATGAACAGCCAGTCCTTTGTATTGCCTTCTATGAGAGTTACCCAACCTAACTTCAGAATAGACACCTTTATACAAAGTGGTAATCGCATGAATGATAAAATAACATATCAGGAAGATGGGTATTTATTTTTTTTACTGAAGTATATTTGACGTATGAGGTTATATTAGTTTCAGGGGTACAACATAGTGACTCAGTACTTCTGTGCATTACTCAGCATTTACCACAATAGTGTGGTCACCATATAATGTTATTACAATATTGACTCTATTCCTTACGCTGTACTTTTCATCTCTGTGACTTACTTATTTTACAGATGGAAATTTGTGGCCATTTCATGGTGTTGAGATGGTTCACTCCACTATGACATGACCCTGCTTCCCAGTGTTCTTGGTTTCAGTTAAATACTTGCCAAACACAGTAATAATTTTTCTCCCTTTGAAATTGTTGTGCTCATTTTATAAATGTAGGACCACAAGATTAATTTATTTCCTCTTAGATACTGGGCTTAAAATTATTTATCACTATCAGCAACAGAGGTATGAACTTCAGTTGTGAACTTGATTAATTTCTCTCATAAACATAGTTGGCTAAGAGTTATCTGTATTTTCATATTGTGCAGAAAAAAGAGCACATATCCACTTTAAAGGTAAGAAATTTTTTGTAATGTACAAAACCACCTGTCAAGAAATAAGATGGTTTAGCACATTTTAGTACTTTTCTCTGATCTTCAGTTATCCTGAACTGTTTATTTAAACATGTTTCCTGTTATAAATAACTGCCTTAATATATAAGCCCCTGAATTTCTCCACAAGCTAAGAGTAGAACGTGGCTGTCTGATCCATCATAAGTCATTATTTTGGAATATGTTATTCATTGATCTACTCAGTTATTTCTGAAATATTTTTCTTTTAATTTTTTTTTAATGTTTTTATTTATTTCTAGGAGAGAGAGAGAGAGAGACAGCGTGAGCAGGGGAGGGTCAGAGAGAGAGGGAATCACAGACTCTGAAACAGGCTCCAGGCTCTGAGCTGGCAGTCAGCACAGAGCCCGACGCGGGGCTCGAACCCAGGAACCGCGAAATCATGTCCCAAGCGAAAGTCGGACGCTTAACCGACTAAGCCACCCAGGCGCCCCTATTTCTGAAACCTTAATCCCTATAGTGATACACTGATCTTGTAAAATAGAAGAGCTTTACTCGGCATAACTTAAGATGATGTTTTTATGTTGAATCATTGTCAGTTAAAGGAATGATGCTTTCTTTCCTCTGATATAAGACTTCTGTTCAAGTTCTGCTCTGCTGTTGATGAGCTGTGTGAACCTACCTATATTTTTGTCCACATCGGTTAGAGAGAAGTAGAGGCAGAGGAGGAGAAAAGTTGAACTGCATTGTCTTTAAGGTCCATTCATGCTCTTTTTAAGGCTTCTTTATATTCCAAATATATATAAATGAATATATATTGTATTCCAAATTCCTTCCCTGGAAAGGGTGGACAGAAAGAAACAGATGGTAGGTCACATAAGCAACCTCTTTATCAGGTGGCTCCAGGCTTCTTTCCACTTGACTGCCTCTCAAAGAAGAAGAAAGTGTTCATCCAAATATTCATTCAGTTTAGGAATTTAACATTCAATAAAAATGTATTGTTCACCTTGTCTCTCTGTATCGGACATTTTGCTGGGTATTTAGAATGCAATGATAGGGGTGCCTGGGTGGTTCAGTCGGTTGAGCAGCCAACTTCAGCTCAGGTCATGATCTCACGGTTGTGGGTTCAAGCCCTGCATCGGGCTCTGTGCGGACACTGAGAGCCTGGAGCCTGCTTCCGATTCTGTGTCTCCCTCTCTCTGCCCCTTCCCCGCTTGTGCTCTGCCTCTCTCTCTCTCTCTCTCTCTCAAAAAATAAATAAATGTAAAAAAAAGAAACTTTAAATGTCCAACTTCAGCTCAGGTTGTGATCTCACAGATCATGGGTTTGAGCCTCATGTCCAGCTTTTCACCGATGGTGTGGAGCCAGCTTCTGATTCTCTGTCTCCCTCTCTCTCTGCCCCTCCTTTCCTTTCCCCTATGCTTCTTTTCTTAAAAAAATTCAACAACATAAAAAAATAATTTTAATTTTAAAAAAATTTTTAAAAAAGGAATGCAGTGATGAGCAAGAAGATACTACGATTAAGTTAACTCACTTACTAAGGCTTCATTAGGAAGTGGTGCACAGGATCCTGCTTGGTAGCCAAGAGCTTGCCTTTGAGACACAGCTTGTGTGTTTACAGTTTTAATTTGGAACAAAACTCTGGTTAGATTTTTGAGTTGTTAAATTTAATGCTGTCGAATGTATTTGAAATGTTGCTTTTGAACCTCACGATCTGAATTTTAAAATTTAATTAGTTAACTTAAGTAGCCACATTTGCCTCATGGCTACCTACCATATGGGACAACACAGTATATCTAAACAATGAGCTCATTTGGAATAACATATTTCAGTTTGAGTGAAATGTCGAAATCTTTTCTCGATTCATGCAGGAAAAGGAAAAGAACTTAAAGAACATCCTGTGCAGAATTCTTTTTATAGTAATTTTCACATTACATTATGTATACATTTAAATATCTTTTCGTCTTCTCCACCATGAAGAAGGGGAAAAATAGCGGGGGAGAGGGAGGGAGGCAAACCATGAGAGACTCTTGAGAACAAACTGAGGGCTGATGGGGGGAGGGGGAGGGGAAGGGGGGGTGATGGGCATGGAGGAGGGCACTTGTGGGGATGAGCATTGGGTGTTATATGGAAACCAACTTGACAATAAACTATTTAAAAACAAACAAACAAATAAATAATCTTTTCTTCCCCCAGAAATAGGTCTTTCACCAGTAATTGTTATGTATATCTTTTGTGTGTAGCATAGTAACCTCTAATAAGCATGCTATAAACATGAAGTGGATGAATGAATTAATCAAAGTCCTTGACAACAGGTATCAGATAATTTTGATGCTCTAATAACTAATCATGTGATTCATATTTTATTAATGATACCATGTGGGTTTTTTAATCTCCATGTATTTTTCTGAGAGAGAAAGAGAGCATGAGTGGGGAAGGGCAGAGAGAGAGAGAATCCCAAGCAGACTCCATGCTGACAGCTGAGAGCCCGATGCAGTACTAAAATTCTTGAGCTAGGGGATCATGACCTGAGTCAAAGTGGAACACTTAACCTGAGCCACCCAGGTGCCCCAGTTATTTCGTTTTGCTTTGTTTTTTAATGATACTGTATTTTAATGTATCGCATAGTTCTTATATTAGTCAGAATGAAAAATTCTCCTATAGAGATGGACCTTGAATTTCTTACTATGAAAAAATATGGAGCAGCCTGAAAAAGAAGTTTTTTTAATATAATTTATTGTCAGATTGGCTAACATACAGTGTGTACAGTGAGCTCTTGGTTTTGGGGGTAGATTCGCATAATTCATTGCTTCCATACAACACCCAGTGCTCATCCCACCAAATGCCCTCCTCCGTGCCCATCACCCATTTTCCCCTCTCCCCTGTACACCTCATCAACCCTCAGTTTGTTCTCTGTATTTAAGAGTCTCAAATGTTTGCCTCCCTCCGTTTGTAACTATTTTTCCCCCTTCCCTTCCCCCATGGTCTTCTGTTAAGTTTCTCAGGTTCCACGTATGAGTGAAAACAGGTATCTGTCCTTCTCTGCCTGATTTATTTCACTTACATTATACCTGCTGGTTCCATCCACATTGCTGCAAATGGGAGGATTTCATTCTTTCTCATTGCCAAGTAGTGTTCCATCGTATAGATAAACCACATCTTCTTTATCCATTCATCAGTTGATGGATATTTGGGCTCTTTCCATAATTTGGCAGCTGTTGAAAGCACTGCTATAAACATTGGGGTCCCTGTGCCCCTATGCATCAGCCCCTGTATCCCTTTGGATAAATTCCCAGCAGTGCTGTTGCTGGGCCATAGGGTAGTTCTATTTTTAATTTTTTGAGGAAGCTCCACGCTGTTTTCCAGAGCGGCTGCAGCGGTTTGCAAAAAACATGGAATGCTACACAAATCTGCATGTCATTCTTGCACGGGGCCATGCTAATCTTCTCTGTATCATTCCAATTTCAGTATATGTGCTACCAAAGCAGGAACTGAAAAAGAACATTCTTGATTTAGATATAATCAAGCTAAATATTTAAAACACTTTAAAATAATCCATACTTTTGTTATTACAAAACCTTGAAATTTTTTTAAAGGATTTTTTTTTTTTAATTTACTTCTGAGAGAGAGAGAGACAACGTGAGCAGGGGAGGGTTAGAGAGAGAGGGAAACACAGAATCTGAAACAGGCTCCAGGCTCTAAGCTAGCTGCCAGCACAGAGCCCGACGTGGGGCTTGAACCCACGAACCGTGAGATCATGACCTGAACCAAAGTCAGACGCTTAACTGACTGAGCCACCCAGGTGCCCCAAAACCTTGAAAGTTTTTCAGATCTACTTAATGAGATGTCATTTTTCCTCGAGTTAAAAAGAGACATTAATTTAAATAATATAAGAAGTCATTATTTTCTCATTAGAAATAGATGTTTTCAAAGGAAAATATTTTTTACTTGTGTGTATTGCCCAGAATTGTACATATTTATGATGGGTCTGTGGCCATTCCCAACACCAGTGGTCACATATGATCAAGGGAGAGCTGAAGAGATACAAACCTAACATTTAAAAATTCTTTTCTGTTTAAATGTTTGTTTATTCATTTGAAAGAGAGGGAGAGAATCCCAAGCAAGCTCCATTGCTGTCATCCCAGACGTTGACATGGGCCTCGATCTCCCGAACCATGAGATTGTGATCTGAGCTGAAAGCAAGCGTTGGATGCTTAACCGACTGAGCCACCCAGGTCCCCTAACAGTTAAAACCTCTGAGGAGCACCGCCATGGTCTTTCAAGCAGCTGGTCTCAAGGCCGGCAGTTTTGGTCCCACATCCAAAGCACCGGCTGGCGCTGTTCTTGTTTCACTTCATCCTCCTCCTCTTCAGTGCTTAATGCTCAGTGTTTCATCACATCCGTGCTTTCCAGGCTAACTGTTACTTCAGGGGTTGAATATTTTGTGTTCAATATCTCAATTATTATTATAACATTATGTAAATTGTCCCTAGGAGAGATGGATTTGTCAAGGCAGAGAGTAGAAAACTTTACTTTGGTTTGGTTTGGCTTATTTCCTTTGGCCTGTTTTTGTTTTTGTTTTTTTTTTAACAGAACTGTATTCTACACGCAGCATGTTTTGGAAGCCCTAGGAAACAGCACCGTGGGCGGCGTAATGCGTGTGTGCGCTCCCCGGTGCTGAAGCCGGAGCGCGGGGGGACGCGGGGCAGAGACCTCGCTATTTTATTTCTCCATTTTGGGTTTTGCTGCACATGTGCCCTTGATTTTTAAACTGCCTCAAATCCTTTTGTGAAAAAAGTCACGATGTAAATCACAGAAAAAGGAACAGTCGCAGAGGCGGGAGGTACCTTCCGGCAGTACTTCCTTGCCAGTGAGTGAGCCGGTTGTAGAGGTGGCTCCAGAGAGCTCGCCCGGCTGCCCTTTGCGCTCTCGCGCCCCTTCTCTGCCCCGGCTCTTCTCATGTTGTCCTGCTCCCGCATTCTTCCCGCTTCTCTTCCCACATCACAGCCCGCGGTGGCTAGGCAGCGCGACTCCAGGGACCTGGGACCCTCAGTCCCCTGTCGCTCGTTACCGACGGAGGCCGGTGGTGAGCTCATGCCCGTAGGTGCTGTGCGGGGAGCCAGGGCAGGAGGCTGCGGGGGGTGCGCTGAAATGGCTTCACTTCACGCCAGAAGAATACCCCTGCTTCTGTGCCTTCTTTGAAATTCCTTTCCAAGAGATGTGAGATGGGCAGGAGTTTCAGGGGTGACAAGGCGCGAGCACGCCCCTGTCATCTGGCCTCGGAGCCCTGAGAGCAGCGCCGAGCGTGCGGCGGCGCTCACGGCTGCCAGTTCCCGCCGCCCGGCCGGTGTCGCCGCCGCACCCGCACCCGCCTGCCGAGGACTGCGCCGCTTGCAACGCTTGGCGCCCGTTGTTCTTATTGAAAACAAGATTAGAAACACGGTAGCAGAACAGGTCAATGATGTACGAGTTCAGGAGAAGTAAGGGTCTTTCAGACTCTCCCCGGCTGTTATCCAGGAAGGGAAGGAAAATGAGTCCCGGGTGCTTGGTGCGTTCAGCCCCGCTTCCTCAGGCGCATTTCCTCAGCCTGAGGGGACCCCCCCCCCCCCCGGCTGAGGCGGCCTCCCTGGTGCTAACCTTCCTGTGGCGACCCTCGGGCACGTCCCTGTGTCACAGTGAAGCCGGCAGCATTTAGACTCCTTTTTATAGCTCATCCAAGTGGATTTGCTTACTGATTTTTGTTACATTTTTGGTCAGGCTGCCAATGCCACGTACTGGCCTGTGACCGGCTGCCAGGTGTGAGGTGTGAGGGTGGCCCACTCTACCGGGAAGAGAGGACGCTTCACTCCGTGCGTCACGCAGCTGTCACCGCCTTCCGCCAGCGGAAGGGCCCAGGGGAAAACGTGTGACATAACCACGGGGCTTCCTGCGGAGACTGACCTGTAAGTGAGGGAGAAACAGCAATCGGAAGCCGGCGCGGCAGCCCCCGCTCCCTTCACGGCACCTGCCTTGGCGCCGCTGCAGGGTCTGTCTTCTGCCCTCGTCACCCCAGTCCCACCCGCGGGCGCCCCCGGGGCAGGAGGCGCTCACGCGCAGGGTGAAGGAGCCCGGGTACGTGTCGTCATACGAGGGCCACGTGTCCCTCCCTCTTCCCCGGTCACAGAGTGAAGGAGCCAAAGGCTCGCCCCCTCGCCCGAGTCCCCCAAGGGCGGTGAATCGGCCACGACGCCGAACGAGGGAGCGCTCGAGGCGGTGCCGCAGGGCGGCGCCAGCGTGGTGCGAAGAGCGTGGGGCCGCGGCGGCGCCCGCCCGCCCGGAGGAGGCCCGCGCTGCGCCGGCCCGGGGCTCCCGCACGACGCGCAGGCAGAGGCGCCGCGGACCGACGCGCGGGCCGCCCGTCCGGAGGGTCCGCCGGGCACGTTCGCGTGCCCGCCCCTGCCGGTGCGCAGCGAGGAGGGCGGGCGCCGGGGTAGGCGCGGGACGTCGTGGTGCCCCGCGTTGGAACGCCCCGTGCGCGTTTCGGACACGTGTGTGCAAGTGCAGCAGAGCGCTGGTCTTCCCCCGTGGCCACCGTATTAATGCTGCTTTTGAAACATTGAACTCGTATAGAAAATTGGGTTGTATCATGCTAGAGCCCTGAGCACGTACGCAGCCTGCCGGGTGAGTCGTTTACCGCGTCCGCCAATAACGGGAGGCAGCGTGCTCCTTAGATGGATGTAACGTGCGTATGTTTTAGCAGTTTTCTTACCCTAAAAAGACAAACTCCATCTTTTCAGGGACCCTCACCTTTCTGAAGCTGTAAGTCAGCAAATGACTTGTAACTTTCTGACAACTTACCCACTAAAAAAAAAAAAAGTTGCTTAACTGAAGATCCAGGGGAGCATCTTTCTCTATGAGCTCTGACTAAACACATTGCCTCAAGGTAATGTGAGATTCTCTCTGCATCCCTTCCCCACTTTCTGTCTCTCTCTGTCTCTGTTTCTCAAATTAGGTAAATAAACATGGAAAAATAGGGATGCCTGGGTGGCTCAGTTGGTTGAGCGTCTCACTGTTGGTTTCTTCTGCTCAGGTCAGGGTCTCACAGTTCATGAGATCAAGCCCCATGTCAGGCTCTGTGCTGACAGTGCAGAGCCTGCTTGGGAGTTTCTCTCTCCCTCTCTCTCTGCCCCTCCCCTGCTCATTCTCTCTCTCTTTCTCTCTCCCTCTCTCTCTCTTCCTCTCTTCCTCACTCCTTCTCACTCGCCTTCTCACAGACACACACACACAAAATAAACATTTTAAAAAGATAGTGTATATTGTCTCTATGAATTAATTGTTCCTTATAAAAATGGAACAAATGTGTATGTGACGACAGTGCACAGTACGGATTTCAGAGGTAAGGTTTGCTCAAGTGCCAGGCTTCATAGTTAGTCACCACGTTATGACGCGCGTGATGTCAGGGCTCTGGAAAGCACAGAGTTGCTGTTGGATCCCCTGGAAAACAGTCCCAGATGTACATTCTGCAGAGCTGAGGCTGTGGAAGCCCTCTCGGTCTTGGGCACGTCCAGACAGAATTTCAGTCCTGTAACCCACGGTTGTCGGCGGAGGACGCTCATGAAAGCACAGCGCCAGGTGCCTGGGCTCGCATTCCAGCTGTGCCACTGAGTGCGTGTTCGACCTCGTGTAGGCTGCCTGACACTGCTGCCTGTCGGCCATCTTCCCGGTCCCCAGGAGGTTATGTAAAGTGCTCACCAGGTTCCGGGCTTATGGCAGACTCCGTATCTTATAGCTGTTATGCAATTGTCGTTATAATCGTTACTATGATTATCGGCAGCATTGTTAGTGTACTAATACTATAACAGTTTATGCTTAAACTCCAATAAGTATTGATCATTTTTATATTATGAATAACAAATTGAAGATACATGGTTAATATATTATGAGACATACACCTTCCTGTTTCAGGAATATGTATAAATGCTTAATTGATGAAGAAACAAACTGAAGCTTAAATTTGTGATTTCTTATAGTTATTTCCATCCTAGGCTACCCATTCTCCGACTCCTCTTCAAATGCTGGCACCCCCTTCAGTTCTGTCCTCAACCATTTTGCATCTGTAGACCGAAATCCCACGCTGCATAGGACACAATCCTGATTAGAACAATCCTTCATCTCAAGTCCAGATCCCTTAAATGATGCCCCACAACCCCTCACTTGATTAACCCTCCCACCTCGTTAGGCAATGCACGTCTACTGGGACACCCAAGCCCCAGGGAAGGTGACCTCTTCAAGATTTTGAGCACACTAGATTCTTCCGCTTGCCTCCACAGCTCTGCACGTTCCCACAGCCTCCACACTCAGTGCACATCTCGGTCTCCTGTGTGACTCCCACTCATCCTTCAGGTCTGAGCATTATGTCTTCCAAGAGGTCTGTTCTACACATTTGCCCTCAAGTGCTAAGCCCCTTCCTTATGTTCCCATAGCACTCCGTGTTCCCTGTGTCACACAC